CGGAAGGATCACGTGCAGAAGGACTTGGCTGCAACCGCGATGAATAATTGGCGAAGTTTTTTCGGTCTCGGCGCAATTCAACAAACGGCTGTAGTACCAAATAAGAATAAAAAGTGGAGCCTCTATATTTCAATCACTACTAGGGCTAATCGTTCCATCTCATAATCTATCATAGCCCATTATCGGATGTTTCGTCGTGAAGTTACTGTTTTGTATCTGTATGGCTTACCCAGTGCCTCGGATGCCTTGGATGCCGTTGATGTAAGGCCTTAACTTCCCGAGAGCATCAATCAGCTGCTTCAGAGATTTCGGTGCGAAAACTGAACCCAGTGATTTTTCCAAATTCCACAAAGTGTACTGAGCATAATATAATGCCGTAACGTTTCTTTATGTAAACTGTTTTGTAAAAAAAAAAACTGTTTGTATTCAATCTTTAATTGTATAGCGATGACCAAATTAATTTTACCTAGCACCACTGAATCGATGAATTTCCCCAATATTCACTTCATCCAAGTCCTCCCAACCAGTGTAGTATGCATTCTTGCAGAATTTTTAAAATTTACTCTCGAGTTCAATTAGTTTCCTGCTACTCCTCGAAAATTGCGCCACTCCTCCTCGATATTTGTTTAATTTGCTTTGTGATGAACCTTTGTGTATGTAGCCTGCAAGCGATTTCACCACAAAAAGTTGTTCATTATCATAAAATCGAGGTTAATGGCCAGCGCGCACACACACACACACACACCCACACACACACACACACACACACACACATCAACATAAAAGCGTTGGCATGCATAGCAAAAGCTCAAAAGAGTAAAAATAGTTTGTAGGAAATCAAATAAAGTAAATTAATAAACATGTAACATTGCGAAATAATCAGCCAACGCATCGCTGCGAAATTGTGGCCGAGTGCACTTCTGAGTTTATATGTTTGTGTGTTGCTATGTGATTGTGTGTGCATGTCAAATTTTATGCTTGTGTAAGCACTGAAGCGGCGGCAGGCAAAAGTAGTAATAATTGGAAAAGTTTTATTGAGTTTGACCGCAGGTTGTGGCTTGCGGGTAGGTAAAAAGGCTCATTTTGGTTTGTTTGTTTGCGTGCATGTTTCATTGCGGGAAAGGCATTTGCCGCCGGGGGGGCGTGAAATAGAGGCCACAAGGGGGGCTGAAAGCAGAATTCAATGTTGCTTTGATTTAGCAGCTTAAATTTTATGCATCAGCATATGATTTTTATTTGAATTCGACTATTGAATATCGTCGCAGAGTGTCAAGTGGCTGTTGAAATTACTTAGAAGCAGCACATTTGGCACAGTTGTGTCAAATTACAAACATATTCCGAAAAAGAAAACATTTTACGATGTAACGCGCCCAAGATATTTTATGTGACTTATCGTATTTTTTTAGCGCTGCCACAAAGTCCTCTTGTCATATGTATGTATGTAAGTATAGAGGGTTGTGGGTGGACAATACATTTATGCATTTAATTTCAGTTAAGGATCATTAATCCTTTTTACGACTTATTAATGTTGAATGTGCAAAGCAGCCTTTTGTACAAGGATTATAAAAAATATTGCTTACAAGGTTACAAAAATGCCATAAAAGTGAGTACATAAATTTTATTTTTTTGATAAAAAAATTATGAGATCTTATGAAAATGTTGCCCAGTGGGACTGAAGGGCGCTTTGAAATTTATATTCGTGGATGTAATCATCGATAACTTCACAATTATCGACATTGGATCCTAACGGTAGGTTAGATAATAATTGCTATGTTATATTTCGCATAGAAAAAATGTTGGAAACCTTGGTTTTTACGATTTCTCTTTTCTGGTCATTATGATCGATCAATTTAAAATCTTAAATTTATAGTTAAAAATTTTAAGTTTATCAATAACGCTTGAAAAACTTTCTATTGGTTTTTACATTTTCGAAAAAAAAAATAAACGTTTTCTTACGCTTTAACTTTCAGTTTATATCCGATAATACTTTTCAATTTTATTCCGAAAGTTCCGAAATATGCCAAGCTCATACAAAACCTTGCAAATAATACGAAACGTACCGAATAAATGTTAAAAATCCCTAGAAGTTAGGAACGAAATACCACAAATTTTGATTTATTCCGAAGAGACTACAAAAAAGTTCGGTAAAATTCGGAAAAGTTCTAAGAAGGATACGAAAAAAATTCCGAGAAAAATTTCGACAAGTCACAAAAATTTTGAATACCCGAAAAAACCGCGAATTACTTCTTTTTTATAAATGAAAAATATAAGAAATTTTTTTACTTGAAAATTTAAAAAAAATACTCTGTATCAATCGAAATGATTCTGAAAAGGTTTTATTTCCTAACTACATCACTTCCAAAATGAAATGTCAAATTAAAGAGCTTGACCTGTAAATATGCAAAGAAATTTTATTTTTTAAAGTTATAAGTTTTTTAGCGAAACAGGTTGATTTTATATTTAAAAAACCGAAATCAGTTGAGACCTCTCTTCACTCAGAATGTTGACTGGCATACGGAAGAATTTTTTTATTTTTTTATTTTTAAAGGGGTTGCCACCTGTTTTAAAGCTTACTTGAATATTGGCGTTTTTAAACAGTTTCACTATTAAATATACTAAAAAAACGCAGATATTCAGTCAATTTCTCATACATGAATTTTCAAAACCAATTCAAATCCATACCGTTTGTCTGCTTCAAACACTCCATTCCGCAGCAATTCCTATTCTCAAAAAGTCGTGACTTCCATCTTCTTTTCGAACTTCTGCTAGTTGCTCAACTCGTACGTTTTCTAGATCAAAAGCATTCAAAAAAAAATTTTTTATGCATAACAACCAGAAATATGTGAACTTTTATTCTGATGTGGAATTTCCTGCCTTAAAATTCATTTTTGTTTTTCTATTCTGTTACTTTAAAAGTATGCTTTACAAATTTTATTTTATTGCATGAAAGTGCTTTTTATTTTCCACAAGAATTCCATACTTTGTTTTACATATTTCGCGTGAATGGAATGCAGAGAAAAATGGGTAGCAAAATATGTAGTTCATCTTGCAAAACTTTCAACCGACATCAAAGCATTTGTTTTATGCCACTTTGCTTTTGTTTTTTTTTATTCTTCAATTTATTTTTATGCTATTGAAGTATGTAAAAGGGGAAAAAATCGATTTATTTCACCGCATTGTAGCTAAAAATTACATTTCCAGCTGTTTAACTACCCACACAACAGACTCTTTGCCCTTTACATAACTCCTTGACTGCCGCTTTCTTATTTACATACTTATGTATGTACATACATACATACATACATCGACCACATACTGATCTCCATCAGTTGTCTTCAGTTGTGCATTTGCTGGTGGGGTTTTCTTCGTTGCCGCCTCAGCATACGCTTCAGCTTAAACATTATTTGGAATTTAATTTCACTGGAAATTTTTGAAATGAATTCGCTGGCATAGCGCGTTAACCCTGTAAGGCAAACGTTACCCTGCAGAAAAAAAAAAACAATATTAGTTGATAAAAAATTGTCAACTTGTAGTTAGCTTTTTTGCGGGATTTCTATAAAATATATAACTTGTAGTTAGCTACAAAAAGCTAACTTGAAACTAGTTGGCAAGTAATGCGGGAGTAATGCACGTACGTAATCGGGAGATTGCTTTCTTTAAACAATTTTCTATTTAAATGTCCTCATAAAAATTTTACTTTCAGTACAATTTTTTTCTGCACTTCACAAATACTTCTTCGAATTGAGGACAAATAAAAAAGATCGACATTTTATATTACTAAATTTATGTCTAACAGAGTTCGAATATGGCACCACCTACCTCAGAATATGTAAACAATTATGTTGTGTAATAAAATAAAGTAAATAAATAAATGAACAAGCTAGCTTTTCTCAAAGAAAATATACAGATGAAATTGACCTTTCTAATCAACTTCCTTTTCAACTTCAAGCTAACTTATAGTTACATACATTTGCTGCTGGGTATTAACTCTTCTTCGCCGTAGCAACCCACGTTGGGGGCGGCGAAAAAACAACAATGCAGTAGATACCTAAGGGAAGATGGAGAAGTAGCTCAGCAGCACTTTGCTATGACATTGCGTTTTTTAGACTTATTTGACGTTCGAAGAATTCAACACTTAAGCCACATGCAAATACATATATACGAATATACCAAAAATAGGCATTAATGTTGCCACTTCTACCCCAAACATTAAAATACATGCAGACATGTATGTGACTAGGTAACTTCATACTAAAACTGACAGAAATGGGCTTACAAAAAATTTAATTTTTTTTTTTTCAAAAATTATTTTAAAAATTACGGGTTTTAATTTTTAAACAATTTTACTATATCATTGCATTTGAAGTCCAGCTGAGATAAAATTTTTGTGCTTCCGTTATTTTACGTTACTTTTAAACGCTCTTGAAACTTCAACTCCGGGAAAAATGATATTGGAACGAATATTTTTTAGTCTTTTCATTGAATATACGGGTAGTTTGATAAAAATGAATTTGGGAAAGGATTGTAATTTTAAAAAATTAAGAATTACTGTCATTTCGAACAAAATTTTGTGTGAACAATTTTTGATATTGTAAAACCGGTAAAAATTTCGATTTATTACATTTCCAATTGAATTTTTGTAATTACAACCACGCCCATAATTTTTAAGAAAAACAGTTAAAATTTTTTGTAAATCCAATTCGGTCAGCTTTAGCGTGAAGTTAGGCTGTTTATTTGCAAAATGTTAGCCAAATCGAAAGCCATCGTGCGGAATTTTGTTACGCTTAATTTAGAATAGCCTTTTGAGCCTATTTGGCCAGAGGTTACTCATACGCCCTGTACAACGTTGCTGCATATTAGAATGTTCTTAAATACATACTCACACAAACGCTTATACGCAACATACACACACAATTCGACATCCTTCATACATTCACGCCTTTTTCTATTAATTTCTTCTTCTTTTTAATTCAATACTTTCGTTTTCCCTTCCCCTGCAGATTCTGCAAGACATGATGGTGGAAATTGACTACGATGCCGATGGTACAGTTTCCCTAGAAGAATGGCAACGCGGCGGCTTGACAACAATACCCCTGCTGGTATTGCTGGGTAAGTATTATAATGTTTGTGTTGTTGTACGGGGGTGTGTGTGGTGTATGACAAGTTTTGTTTTGTTTGTTTGCCTGACTAAAGGCAAAAGTGACTGAAACTTTTACAAGTGCAATGTCTACTTAACTAAACTTAACTGAATTAAACTCAAGTTGAGACAATAAATTTGCATGAAACCTCGCTGACATGTAGCCTTTGCAAGCGTAGATTTGAGAATTGTTTTACTTGTTTAAAACTTTTAATTATCTGATTTTTCACTGAGTCAAGGCATGATGATGTGTTGCACAGCTGTTGAAGTTAGGTGAATGGGCAGGCGCAAATTAATCGAAATTGCTGGACATTTCCATATCGGAAAAATATGCAATTTATGGCATCGCTTTCATTATACTGAGATCTGGTGGTTAAATACTAAAACGGTGTACTTGCGGTCAATGAACTTTGGAACAAAAAAGTTTGCACTCGTGAGACGAGAACATCGGTATATCACACTTTAAGATCCGACTATAAAGGCTGAAGATATGATAAAAATTCGAAAAAGGAAAATATTTTTTTTCGAAATTGCCTTGGAATAATACTTTATACTCAGGGGTGTACGGCGAACTTTTTTTTTTTTGGTACGGTCTAATGTACATATATATATATACATGACTTTAAACCATATCGGAAAACGTAAACAATGAATCACTCAATATCAAAAATATCCGAAAAGCCATTTTCTCAAAATTTTATTCTGGAAAAAAATTCAAATTTCAAAATTTCTTAAAGAAAGAGAGAAAACTATTTTTGGTGCTAGTTCGGAAAATAACAATTTTTTTAAATTATCTGTCAATTCCATGGATTTCAAGAGGAACTGACACAATGAAGATGTATTTCTGAGAAAATGTTTTTAGCTTCGTCTTTAGAATATTTTTTTTTTTTAAAGACGTGAAATTTTTCTTGCAGGCATTGTTTAAAACTGACAACAAGTTACCGGAAATTCCAAAAAATTATCACCAAAAGTGCAGAATAGTCTCGAACAAATACCCCAAATAAACACAACAAAAAAAACACAACAAAAAATCCTAGTAATCCAAACAAGATGAGTGCCGAAGACAACAAGAAACGGTACCGAAAAAAATCTTGAAAAGTCTCGAAAATCTTTAAAAATCTAGAATCATCTATATTACAAAAATTAGCGGTTATTTATGCTCAAAAATAGCATGCAAACTTTTTTCATAATTCATTGCCTATAAAAATAATTATAAGATATAACTAGTATATCGTCACCTGAGTGGAAGATCGACCTGTCTCGGCAGCCGTTTGAAAACGCTCTATCTCAGAAATCTTTTCTAGAACACCTTATTTCAGAATTTGATTGAAGAACACCCTATTTCAGAATTTTATTGAAAAGTACCCTATCTCATAATTCGGTTCAAAATCGCCCTATCCCAGCTGAAAATACATTGAAAATGTGCTGAGATGGCGCGTTTTTGAATCGGCAGCTAAGATAGAGCGTTCTTCAATCAAATTCTTCTGAAGTGGGGCATTCTTGAAAAGTTGAAAGGCTGCCGAGATAGATCGCTCTTCCACTCAGGTGACGATATGTATACATATTGCTTAAAATAACAAAACTTAGGTTTTTTTCTTAAATAAAATATACTCTACTCAATGAAAATAGTCGAAAATACAATTTTTACACTTCCATTATGATTTCAAAATCTAAAAATAACTTGCGTGCTACAGTTCCCTACATTCTACACTTGCGGGAAAACTTCACAGGATTAATATTTTTTTTTCCACTAATGTCACTCTTCGAGTGTCACACATTTTGCGAATAACTCTTTTGCAAAAACACCGCAGGACGTTTAATTCAAAAGCTCCTGTGGTCACACTCAACCACAGCCATACCAAATTGCTAGCAAAACAAAAAAAAAACAAAAACAAAAACAACAAAAGTAAAAATAAAGCAATTTATATGCATGCATGTGAATGAACCATAATGAATACCTCACTTTGCATATTTTCTTTGCCACAAGAAAGCGGTGATGGCTTCTAAGCGTGTGAAGCGCTGGATATGCCAGATTGCGTCGTCATTGCGTCATCGTCTGAATTCGCGTTTGGGTGGAGGACCTCCGGTGCTTCTCAAAAATGTCTAAGATGAAGCAAGTGAAGCCGCCAGCCACGACGCAGCATTTATTGCTTTCGTGACAGCGTAGCTTTGACAATATTTGCATGGCGTGGCGCGCACACATACACCCGCGCCAACGACCTCATTCATATGCAACTTTTCCACGAGTACATTTATGTATTTGTTTTCTTCTCACTCATTTCGCGCGTGTGTGTGTGTGTGTGGGGCAACTGTTTTTATTTGCATTGCTTTTGATTTGGTTTTGCATTTCAAATTTATTTTCATTTGCAGGCGTTGACAATACAGCACTGAAGGAGGATGGCATCCATGTGTGGCGCTTAAAACATTTCAGCAAACCGGCATACTGTAATCTCTGCCTGAATATGTTGGTTGGCCTTGGCAAGAAGGGTCTCTGTTGTGTGTGTAAGTAGCAAATTTATGTGTATGTATATTGCAACTTGCATTTCCGGTTCGAGATGAAGTTCATTTTAAACGCCGGAAATTCAAATAACTCAGTAAGTGAAAAGTTAGATTGGAAATGTGGCGTGGCTTATGGCAAGCTTGAGAAACGAGTATATTTATTTAAATTAACATTTTACAAACACGCAGCAGACACGTGCGTGCATATGTACATATATAATTGCATATGAGCCTTATTTGTTTGCACAGCCGAGTGCATTTCGTTTGCCGGAAATCATTCGGCGCGCAAATTGCTTCAAGAAATTTTGGATATTTGCATAACTAAGTAAAGTGGAATAACTAAAATTTAGGCTAATGAATTTGGTATTGTTGCAAACTTGTGAACACAAGCCAAGCTCATTAGTGATGGCATAATCACTTGCATTATTTTTTAATAAAAATAGTTATTAGAAAAACTAATTTTTAATTTCAATTACGCTTATTAGATCTTATCACTTGCAATACAAAATACTCATGATTTTGTGCTAACATATTCATGCGAGTAAAAAGTTGGCTTTCCTTGCAGACAAGCAGACTAATTGGGCGTTTCTGGTGACTGTCAACACAGCCTATCGTAATACAATTGTCAATTCTGGCAACTACTTTGCAAGAACTGTTCTTTCTTTCGAAAGCCTAATGAAAGATCTGCTACCAAGGAGGTCTTAGCGTTATTCGGTTTGGCTTTTAGCAATTAGTTTTTTTAAATATTAAAGAAAAACACTAAAAATTTAAAGAAAAAAAAAAAAAAAATTATCAAATATACTAAAGATTAAATTGAGTTAAAAAATATGTATATACATTTTTCTATTTAAAACTATACAAACTAAAACTAGAGAAAAATTTAATTGAAACAAATAATTTTTAAACAAAAAATAAAACCGACTTCAATTCTCTTATAAAAATTTAAGAGCACCGTTAATTTATTTATGCCAATGATCGGATCTAAACCAAATTAATATGGGGCCACCTCTGAGGAGCCACCTTTTCTTTAAATAATAATTAAAGAAATCGGTTAACGTGGACCAAAACTATGCGGTAACATACATAAAAAAATATATTCCGACGAATTGATAACCTCTTTTTTTTTGAAGTCGGTTAAAAAGAAAAATCATCAAATCAGTAAATGTATATATAAGTTTATTTAAAAGTTGCTAATTGCACTTTTTGTGAAAACTAATTTTTGATGTACATAGGAGACGAGAGACATTAAAAATTGATCGTTACCTAAATGATTTAAGTCCTCGGTTTAATTCTTTTTACTCTAAGCTAGCGATAAAGTTTTTTAATTTATACAGCATCTCAAACCAATTTTTTTTATTATGAATAAGGCTGTTAGTTTTTGAGTCAAAAATTTTAAGACAGTGACCCAAATATAAACTGGGACGCAATATTTTAACAAGTCTTTATTTTTTGATGTAATATTTTTATGAAAGTAGGTATAGCTGGTTTCCTAACAAATACCATATAAATCCAAATTTCAAACTTTGTGCAAAAATTATGAAAATTGTTAAAAATTTCACTAAAATTTCTGAATTTGTAATCTTTAGAAGAAAATTTGCTTTGCAGTTTATTTAAAATAAAATTTTAGTTTAACAATGTGCAAGTTTGATTTTTGGTAATTTTTTTTCGTCCGTGTTCCGCATATTTTTCGATATAAAAAAAAATTTTCGACATAATTTGTATGCAAAAAATGCGTAACACCATCAACAAAAAATTGCCAGAAATCAAATTTAACCTTAGTATACTAAAGTCTAAAAGACTACAAAGCTGGCCACCAAATTTTTTCTAAATATTCTGATTAAAAAATTAGAAATTTTGGTATAATTTTCACAATTTTTGCACAAAGTCTGAAATTTATATTTGTATAGCTTTTTTAAAGCTGTCGACTAAACTTTCATAAAAAAATATTAAACGTTAAATAAAGTAAGGGAAACCAGAGCTAGTTTAGCGCTTTCTGGTAAAATTCAACTATTTCCATAATTTTAAGAACTTAAATGCAAGCGATTGCGACTGAAAAAATGCACGAACATAGTTAACTAAAGTCTAAAAACGTGCAAATAGCCATTCGAGAGCAATGCTGTTCGAGTTGACATGAAATCGCAATTAACAAATGTTTTTCAACACATTTCTCTCTTCTTCTCTCTTTCCAAACGCTGCTAACAACGGCGACCAAATTCAATGCGACACGCGAACGGTCTGTGGATATGCAATACTGAAATGTTGGCTGAACACCTGTCATGTTTACCAATGCATTTTACTAACCATACGAACAACCGACCAATCAACATAACAATAAAAACAAAAATTTCCAAATAAAAAAAAAAATAAAAAATGAATTAACAACCACACTCTCACGATGTTGATGGCAACAACAATTTTTGAACGCGTTACATAAAACGTTAACAACAACAATGGCTTTGTTAACATGCAACAACACACAACACACAAAAAAACAACAACCAAATAATATGCAGTATGCAAATATACGGTACATGAACGTTGCGTGCAACATGCGCCCGCCTCCTGCATCACCACCTACGTCAAATCGAAGAAGGCCAAAGGTGGCGGCGATCTGCTACATCACTGGGTCGAAGGTAACTGTTACGGTCGCTGCTCCAAGTGCCGCAAACGCATCAAGGCATATCACGGCATCACCGGGCTGACATGTCGTTGGTGTCACATGATGGTAAGTGTTGATGTACATATGTTCGTAGTTGAAGTTGCTGTTGAAGTTGTTAGATGTTGACAACAATCAACAATGAAATGAAATTGAAAACAGTTTGAGGTGGAAGCGGAAGCTGGAGCTGAGAAACGTGCAGTTGAATTATGAATTTCCTTTGCCTGTGAATGCAGAAGATATTAGAGCAGAGTGTTAGCATAGGAAATACATATTGCATTATGCAACATCGAAGTGAAGCTGAAGCTTAGTGCGAAGCCTTAAATCAGTCCTGGGATAAGCAGCAAAGCTGATCAATTACAGCGCGCACGTACTTAGTTACCCAAGTAGAAGCGTGCATACATATGTTGATACACGCATGCAACACTTCTGTCTATCTATCTAGATAATAACGTGCCCTAACCGCCAAAAAGACGTAAGCGAGATTTTTTTTCAAAATTTTATTTTTGATGCAAAATTACTCCTAGAGGATCTGGATGCGCTACTGCATCAAAAAGAAAATGTTAAAAAAAAAATCGCTTACGTCTTTTTGGCGGATATGGCTCGATATGTACAACCACACATGCACATACACCCATAAAGCAGCAGCATTATTATTGCCTTGGTAATGCATTTCTGGCGCTGCTGCTGCTAAAGCAAAGCTTTTTGCTACATCATACATCGCAACAGTATTCACCTACAAATTCAAATTTGGGCCTTAGCAGTTAAGTAAAGCTAAGTGGCTGACTATAGTCAGTTATTGTACAAACCCCATCTGCTCTTACTAGTCATACATATGTATGTATATATGTACACATATGCACTATGTAAATCTTGCCCAGTTTAACTCCAATCAACGGTTAATTACCGTAATTGTGTATTCTATTACATCCTGTGTCAAGCTCAAAGCGTATTCCGCATATTGATTTGAATAGTTAATTACACACACAAGCATACATATATGCATACATATGTATGTATGCATAGTTTCGAATATGTGTTGCATTTTTAACTTTAATCCATTTAATTTGCAAGGCATTCCGAAATTCTTCGAACAAAGCTTTCCCCATGAATATTTAACCAGTTTTCTTTCATACAGGATAAGTTGTTTTCAAGATAAAAAAACTATATATAATTTACTTGTATGTATAAGTAGCTGATGAAATTTCATTTAATCTTACTTTGTCGTAATTTAATCTTTCAGGACAAATGTTGTACAGAAAGCATTTAGATATAAAAAGATTAAAAAAAAATTCATAGGAATAATTAAGGTACATACGATTGAATTGCAATATTCACGCCAATCCAAAAATACACACATACAATGCAAACTTAAAGTTGCTGGAACTTACCGTTGATCTTAAAATTTTTTTTTAAGGTGCAATTAATTTTCTCCATATGAAAAAATCGCCGAACAAACTTCGAATGGAAGAAAATGTCTGGCATCGTCAACAAAAAATTAAAAAAATATTGCCAAAAATCAACGGCAAGTCCCAGCTTATTCGAACTTCAACGTCCACTGAATGTGCTACAAAACTGCATAAACAAAATCTTTCTAAGAAATTGAATTAAAAAGCTCGAAATTTTAACGAAAATTAGTTGACCCTTTTTTTAATATTACACAATTTTGAAATTATACTTTTTTTTTATTTATACGGTTTTTGTTAAAGGATAAAGTATAGCTTTATAAATAATAATTAATATTAAAAACCTTTCAATATGTGAGTGTCATATAGTTATGGTGAGCACTATATATGCTTTTTTATAGCCCTTTCAATTCTTTTCATGAAACTTTGCTAATTTTTTTTGCTTTAATTTTTGTACAAATTTTGAAACTTGGAATGAATTACATTTTAATAAAAAAATAATAATAATTAAAACCAAATAATAAAAATAAATGGACAACACCTGTTAATATGTGTGTGTCGTATAGCTATGATATACACTATAGTTTACTACGAAAAGTCTAAATAGAGTATATTTTCAACATTGAGCTAACAAATAAAATATGAGCTTAAGAACCAACACAGCTGGCGGTTTATCTATTAGAACGCACCCGCATAAAGCAGTTGTAGGGACAATGAGATGATAAAATCGGGGATGACGAGTCCTTTCTCTGTCTAAGGCGACGATGCCTCCAGCAATACTTTTCCACGATCTGTTAGACTAAAATTTGATAAAGATCTGCGATCCACGTAATATTGAGGCACCTCGCGATGTCCCTTGATGTGGTTCCCATCACTTCATGTTCATTCAAATAAGACATTTCTAAGAAGCAATGTCCCATTTCATCCAGATTTATACTCAGAAATATGTACATATAACACCTTTAGAGAAGTGTATCTTGAACCCACGGTGGTATGATTCAATTGGTTCATCCCTTTTCCAATTTCTTTTGAAGATATTGATGTTTTTGTTGTTTGAATTTATATCTAGTTCGTTGTTTTTTTATCGGCGCTGTGTTTTTTATACCCTCTTGTAGACGTCAATAATAGAAGAAAGTGATGCATACTCCGAAATCAGGTGGGTCCTAAAACGACTTTGATTTAATCATTTTTTATTTCAGCATTTAATGCCTAAAAATATTATACAAACTGCATTTCATATCAGTGCGGTGTATAAATTTGATAAAATTATTCTATGCTTCCAAAGTTGTTGGTGGCATGCATTTGAAAAAAAAATAAATTCAACTCTAAATAATGCATAAATTGCATTAGGTATGAAAATTCGATTGCGTCTGGAAATACAAGCAACCACCTTTGCACAATCGCTGCCTTAACCAAAACTACGACAGCACAGCGCATGGCAGTGAAGTGTCTTTTAAAATTCTTCTGCTGTTCACTATGCAGCTGTCGTCCACTTAGCCAGCGTCTGCCACCTGTCACGTCCACTGCGGTATCTACGTACGTGTCCTCAACCACGCAACGAAGCTTCAATACCCGTAACAGCTTGGTGGCGTGAAATTCCCCCCCCCCCCCCCCCCCCCTTTTTCACACACCCCTTTCCCATACCCTACCCGTCAATCCAAGTTGTTTGCCTTAACTCGCTCCTTGCTATTTTGTGACACCTCTTCTATGTTTACATTTTTTTATTTCATTTCCATATATAAATACTATACATAGATATATTTTTACATATGGCTAGCTTAGAGTGAAAAGCTGCTAAGTCCCTTTTAACAAATTTTACAGGAGAGGAAAAAACTTCTTATAGCAATTTTCTTCGAGTATTTCGCATTTTGTCTGTTCAAGGGCAAAACTCCATACGAATCAGAGGGGCTCGATCTATATTCAGACACTCCGTTCTAATTTGACCTTATCGGTTTTCCTTTCAATGAATATAAACTAGAATAAATAAGACAATTACGTGTATCCTTTTCGAAACAATGTTTTTTTGAATTTCCCTATCCTTCTGTATCAAAATATAAGTTTTCAACAAAAAGTAGACTTAGCAACTTTTCACTCTTCTGCTAGCGATATGTTGTATTTATGTAGTAGTGTACGCATTTGCATATGTTTAGAAATTCCACACTTTTACCGCAGCTACCACTTTTCAGCCACAATCCCACATTTTGCTACTAGCGCGCTACCACAGCTTTATTGACAGCAATTCGCAATTTTAAATTGACATGCAATATTGCAACAATAACAATGTCGTTCGCATGGTGCAATGCATTTGTCGTCACATTGCACTCCTCCCTCAATACGGCCGTCACAGCATGTCTCTTGTCTCCTATTATTTCCTTGCAATTTGCATTGTTAGATTTACAAAATGGCAACACTGAAGTAATGAGTAAATGTTTTCGTTGCGTTTTAGTATGTATGTATGTATGTATTTATGTATATCGTCGCATTAGTATGCATTTGGTGTATTTTTGTGGAGGGATTTGTCACGCGAAATATAATTCAACTGCATGCCATGCCAGAGGGGTGTTTATCGTTTTGTTAGATAATTGACTTGAATTGCGGTTTTATTTTCTAGTGAAAATCAGTTTTAAAATAATAATAGCATATTATTATCATCCGTTATTCCATTTTCTCTTTTTTGGTAATAGTGGTATAGTATAAAGAAATTAAATAAAAATAAAAAATATAAAAATAAAAGAATTTAATTTCATTAGAAAGGTTTTGGAATGGATTTTAAAGCCGAAGTGCAGAAAATTACTCAAATTTCAAACGAGTTTAAAATACCGAAAAAAATCAATTCACAATTGACACCAATACAAGTGCCATACATGTACACGCGAAGGTTTTTGGTGTTTTTTTTTTTTTCAGGGGCGTTGTGATAGCGCACTACGCTCAAGTGGCCCTATGAAACCAGGACAAACCTGTTTTTTCTTCGAACTCCCCACACCAGGGGACCACCGTCAAGCATTACTTCGTGGGGGCAAGGCCGCTTAGTCGCCGCTGCTACGCCACAGCCTTTCGAGGGTCCTTAGTCTCTTCATCGCCTCTGCTATAGCGTCACTTGCCATGGTCCATTTTTCGCTGCTTTGTAGCATAGTGTCTACGAGTGACAGCTATATTGTTAAGTTTGCGTCTGGTTCTGTTAAATCGCCCGCACTCAAACAAGATGTGGTGGACGTCTTCTATTGTGTCTGCTCCACAGAAGTCGCATATAGCATCCGTTTCGTGTTTGAATCGGTGATGGTATGCTTTAAAACATCCGTGCCTGTTAAAAATTGTGTCAGATCCAGCTTTTCAAATCTGTAATGCAGCGATATATCCAACGGCGCTTTGACGCGTTGCTTCATCAAATCTGCCAGGTTTGGGTGCTGGCATTTTATTCTTCGCAAGAGTTGAAGCTTCATTCGCCAGTATATCAGCGGGATACTTTCCGGCGATTACTTATGCTGCTTCGTCTGATATGGTTTTAAGCGCGCAGCATACTCGAGGCGCGCGCAGGCGATACGTTGTCTTTTCAACTTCTACCTGCTGGATATGAGCACTGACTCTGTTTTGTGCTCCGCGACCTGTAGTTCATTTTGCGTAAGCTATGGCTTAACGGACCCTATAGCTCCGTTTGCTATTTCACAAATTTCTCTAAGCTTTTCAGCAGTGACGACTAAGGCGATATCGTCCGCAAAGCCGATTATTTCGGCACCTTTGGGAACTTTGAGGCGCAGGACACCGTCGTACATGGCGCTCCATAGTAATGGGCCGAGCACGGAGCTTTTGGGGAAGGTAATGCTTGTATGCTTTAGCAGCAGTTTCAGAATATTATTTATGTAGAAAATTAAAGAAAATTCTGAAAATTTTCATTAAGATATTGCACTTTTTAATTACACTCTTATGAAAAAAGTTGGGTACGCAGTTTTTTAGCCCATTCAATTTTAGTATAATAAAGTCTGAAGTAGGTTGGGCTTAGCAATGATTTTTGACAAATTTTTTTCTTGAAGGTGTCGCTCATTTTCACCATATAAATATATTTTCGTTTTTTTTTTTTTTTGATATGGAGCAAATGGACGACACCTTCAACAAAAAAAAAATTCCAAAAATCATTAGTAAGTTCTAGCTACCTGAGACTTGCACATTATTATACTAAAATTGAATGGGCTAAAAAACTGCATACTCTGTTTTTTTCTAAATAGTGTAATTAAAAAGTGTAATATTTTGATGAAAATTTGCAGAATTTTCTTTAACTCTGAACAAGGTTTGGAGCTCGGATTTGTGGGGTCTTGGTCGTAGAATTAACCATATTTTTATAAAAAATTACGAAAAATAAAATACTTAACAGTCGACTGTAGATATTACAATTAACCATACCAATAGCCTTTCAAAACTTGAACACAAAATAATTTAATTTGTGTTTGCATTCTAATTATAAACATTTTCATGCATACACTGGCACAAATGAAGCAAACTAAATGACTAATAAAACAGTTGAAAATTTTACGCTAACGAGATCCTAATCCAATTAATTAGCCGTAAATTTTCGAGTTCAAAAATACAACAAGCAATAAACGAAAGTTTCATTAACCTAAATGGGTGGTGGTGGGTGGGTGTGAGAAGCAACACAGGACACAGCAAACTAGGCAGTGATGAGGAGGTCATAATTTTACAAATTCATACTTATTTTTCCCCCTGCTGCTGCTTATTGTGCGAGTACTTACTTTGAAAGCGCCCACTCCTACTTTCACTACCTGCCTTCGTTGTGACTCCCACGTTTCTCCTGCACCCCATTGTGCTCATGACTACTCTCTCTACCCACAACGCATTGCTATACATACATAGGTATATATGTACATATTTTTATATGTATGAATGCTGTTTGTTACTCATTTAAATATACTACGTGTGCTTGAATAATTTTTGCGCGCACGTAGCCAGCGTCTTCGTCGACACGTGTTCAATATTTAACGCCAACGCAGCGAAAAAAAAGGTACAATAGAGACAAAGGAATCCAAAAAAAAAAAAAAGCAACAAAAGCAACTTACTCTTAGTTAGTTTGTGATACACAATAAAGAAATGTGTCACATTTCGACAGCTGTTTTTGGACACTTATTCTAATTTCGCTAAGTCGTTAGAAACAGTGCGCCCATCCGCTTCGGCACGTCCACCGCACTTCATTTTGACATGCTGAGTTTTAGTTAAAGCTCAGAGTTCTTTCCACAAATTCCATTTTTTTTCTTTCAGCCTTTTCTAATTACGGTTTTCTTGTTTTTCCTCTGCTTAATTTCTCTTTGCAGCTTCATAATCGCTGCGCCTCCTCGGTGAAAAAGGAATGCACACTCGGCGAGTATGCGGATTTAATTGTACCTCCAACGGCCATCTGTCCGGCAGTCTTGGATCGCCAGCGCTCAGTAAATCAAGCCAGCAAAGTGAGTTAATTATGCTTTGCTTTGTTTTTTAGTAAATAATTTTTCATGTTGAATTAAGAACGTATGCATGTGTGTGTGTGTGTGTCTTTGTACTTCTTGCTGGTGAAATAATTAGATTTCTGATTCAATTAAATTGCAAGTTATCATCAAAGCAGGCGTCTTGCTAATTATCAGAAATTACAGAAAAAAAATTTAAAATTTAAAAGATTGTAAACCAATTTTTGGCAAAGTAAAGGAAACTAAGAATTTATTACATATTTAGTATTCATCATCGGGAAAGCGTCTAAGAAAATATTCCATGACATTTAAATTTAAAAAATAATAATAATAATAATAATTTAGTAGTAACTGAAGTCTTACGTAAAAGCTAAAAGTAAATACATTTCCTCCTCAACTGGCATAAGTCAATAAATACTTAACTTAAATTTATAGCATAGCGTGTCAAAAATTAGTCAATCTTGACAAAATAAGTGAAACTTATTAATCCCTCTTAAGTCTCTTAATTCAGATTGGAATCAAACAGAAAGGTCAAATTCACACCAAGCAGCCAAGTACCGTGTACCAAAAAAAATTTCTAGTACCAAGTACTTAGGTACAGAAGCACTTTAGTTAAAATCTATACAAAATCTTCATGGCGAATATTTTCATTTTACCAAAAAAAACTTAAAATCAATGAAAAAAATAATTATAAATGTGAAGCGATTGAGTCAGTAGCTTAAGTGTATAATTAAAAAATAATTAACAAATTAATTATAATTAACCTCTTTATGAATGTTTATATAGTATATAGAAACATGTATGCGTCTTTTTTATGTCTTCACCGAAAGAATCACAGATTTAAAAATTAATTCATTAACATTGCTTTGTCTTCTCCACTCCCTCCCTTTTATATCTCTTGACTCGCCTATCCCAAAAAAAAACCAAACGACAATCAAAAATCCAAAAACAAAACATAAAAATGTCACTCATACGCCTACGTGTCTGTGTTGTCATCACGCTTGTAACACATCAATCCAATCGGCTTATCACCATTCAACCAAATAACCAACCAAACAACCAATCAACCAACCGCAAACGCAACCACTAACCCAAATTAATGTGCAATCGATATCTTGTGCTTAAAAAAAAACTGTTTATATCTGCAATTATGAACTTTTTACTAATAAAAGAAATCAAATCAAATCCATCAGGCCACACACTTTCAAATTACCCCGCCCAACGAAAGTAGCTGTCCGCTGTTGGTGTTCGTCAATCCGAAAAGCGGCGGCCGGCAAGGTGATCGCATATTGCGGAAATTCCAATATATGCTCAATCCGAGGCAAGTTTATGATCTATCCAAGGGTGGACCGAAGGAAGGTAAGCAAGTGATAGTGCGTGTGAATGAAAATGAAATTTATACTAAATTTTTTCTCAAGAATTTTTTTTATATTTTTTTAATATTAAATTTCCAAATATAAGTATATGCATCGAATGCTAGCACATGCCGGTGGTTTCAGTCTTATAAGCTTCAACCAATTTTTCTAGTTAGAAATATATACATATGTATATTCATTCGAGATTCTTCAAGCTGTATGGTGCATTCCAGCATCTAGTATCAAATGGTTTATTATTAAAGCAGCTCCAAATCGAAGCGGGGCATCTTTTTAAGGGTTTTTAAAATCTGGTTGCTAAAATCAACAAATATCAGCATTAAGATAGTAGAACTTCTCACTTGGCGCTTTTAGGCATTCTGCGCTTTTCAGGCTTCCGGCGCTTTTTTCAGCTATGTATGTACATTAGGGTGCATCACTTGTCGATACTGTTTTTTCATCAGAATTATAAAGCGTATTATATTTTTAGACGACCGCTAAAATATTTCAAAATAGTGAGATTTCAAGACGTATTTTCAAGTCTGTCCAGCTTCTCAAGTAGCACATTCGTAAACTTGCGACTCAGCTATACATCAATGTGCTATTCTTCGGCGGAAGTCTTAGAATATATTAAATTTTATAATTCCGGTGGAAACCCCGCAACGGTTTTTTTCTGAGGCACCCTAATGTACAAATATTTCGAAACACTCGCTGTTGTGGTCTACGCTTTTGACAATGTCCCCTTCTCTACTAGTAAGTTAGTCGCGGAGAGCGTCATTGGAACCAGGCAGAAGATGTGGAGTTTATGGGGACCGTCCTCAGATCGGCTTACTTTATCATTTGCTCTTACACACGGTTATTGATTTTCTTGTGGAGATACTACAATGTTGAGTTCCCTAAGACTGAATTCTGACTTCACCTCAATACTGCGCTCTTGCTGACACATTGTAAAATCTTTCCTGATTGTTTCAGGCCTAACTCAGGGTCAGTAATCTCCACACCTACCTTGAGTAATATTCGTCATCATTTCAAGACCTCAAGGCCATCGATTACGTGTTGGAAAATAGTTGAAGGTGTATTTTAGAGTTTATGTGTCTGTGGTTAAAGGCAAGCTGCACTCAAAACGGTTTAGCGCAGCCCTCTTCCTATTTCCACACTAAACCCCCAATTATGTATGTGCACTTGATTAATAATCCAGCTTGACTCTTCCTTAAATTATACCACTACAATTTTATTAACTATATTTAAAAAAAATATTGAAACTTGAGTTGGGCATGGGTTCATATTCAAAATTTATTTAGGTTTGGTTTTTAAGGAAATTTTTTTACCGAAAATCAAAATATTATTTATTCTTATTCTAAACTAGAAAAAAAAAAATCTATTTATTTCTAGTTCTTGAATATTCTATAGCCATTTGCTTTTATTCTGTCATACTTCTCTCCTTTCTTTCAACACCTGCGCTTCTGCAGGTTTAACGCTTTTCAAGGATTTACCAAATTTCAAAGTGATTTGTTGCGGTGGTGACGGCACAGTCGGTTGGGTACTGGAGGCGATGGGTAAGTTAATTAAGCAAGGTAAACCAGTTTATAGCGCTTAAGTAAAAAACATGAAACGCCTTTGGCATCGAGCTTTAGAGCTTTGAAACAACGTTTGCTTTTTATTTCAACAAAGCTACATTTAATCTAACATATTTCAAGCTGTCACCCTTCTCACCGCCGTCATGATATGAGTGCTTATGTAATTAAATAATTGTATCACTATTTATTCTCCACCCATTCAACTCAGATTCCATTGAACTTGCCACACAACCAGCCATTGGTGTCATACCGCTGGGCACTGGTAACGACTTGGCGCGCTGCTTACGCTGGGGTGGTGGCTATGAGGGCGAAAATATCCCTAAGCTAATGGAGAAGATTAAGCGGTCATCGATTGTGATGTTAGATCGTTGGAGTATCGAGGTGACGAATGCGGTGCCTGTGGAGGAGGTACTTCGACCAAAGGTAAGTAAATAAAGGAAAAGGAAAGAAATGTTGCTTTCGTAAGACTAACAGAAACACAACAGCAATGAAATCAGTGCAAATCATTGCAAACATTTTTAGTCGCTGATGTCGGTTGATGAAAAACATCACTCATGCGTCATGTCTACCCAGTAGGGTGTTGCGAAATAATCAATTTTTCGATTGCGAAATTCTAATAGTGCGGAAAAGTTAAATACGATGATTAGATTGAACCATGTCTTATGCATTTTTTTTAAAAGATTGCTATTATGAGGGAGTATGCAGTTTTTTTAGCCCATTAAATTCTACTGCAAACTTTAAGTTGCTAAAAAGTGGCGTTAATTTTTGCCCATTTTTTTTAATTTTTTTGGTGATATATAAAAAATGCCGAAACTCCCACTTTGTCATACTACAAGACTACATACTCAAAATTTTTCTAGAAAATCGTTTAAAAAAGTATAAAAACACACATTTTGAGAGATTTTCGAAAGATGAACATTAGAATTTCGAAATCAAAAATTTTATTTTATTTTTTTTTTTGTTCCACCCTACTACCCAGTAGCAAATACACATGGCTTACACTTTCATATTTCTTTTTGTTTTTTTTTTTTTTATGCATCTCTCTCATGCCCTTTCCTCGCAGAGTTTCTTCTATGTCGCGGTGACATTTTAATTGAAATCATCTTTGTCCTACACGTTTTTGCACACTTTTGCTGTTGCACCTCCCACTGCATTGGCCCATATCAAGTGGCATTGGTTGGCACTTGCCAAAATCCAATTAGTACGCACGGTGGGCAGGAAGCGAATATAGGTTGCATAAAAATGTCGACAAAATCTGAAAGCAGGGTTGTATTTGTTGATATCTTAAGGTTAAGAATCCGCTTAAATTGAAATCCTAGCTGCTCCTGTTTTAAAGATATCCATATTTTATATACTTCTGATAGGATATATTTGGAAGGCGTACTTCTCGATAATTAGAGCATATTTATACGAAAAGAAATCTCATACATATCTGTTCCCCTTTTTTAACTCACTAAAACGTATCAAATCAATGTGAAACATTTTCATTTTTCCCTACCGAAAGAATAATTGATCGAGATTTATTGGGCGCTACCGGTATACAACTTAGATAAAACACCACAATTACCTTTTTCTGTAGCGTGAACTTTCTCATTACAAACACTTTCAATATCGCAATATAGGTATGTATGTATACAATATTGTATGCTATATAATACGGTAGTAATTTTTTATTAAAGGTTTGTTGCTATAAGCAAGTAGCGCAGGCAAGTCGAACTGCGCTTGTGCAAGAAATAAAAATGCTCTAACTTAGGCCAACGGTACTCCGCATAATAAGTAAATAAATTCAAAGCTTGTATGAGATTTATTTTGGTATTTATGTACTCTTCTGTCAGGAAATAATGACTATTGTACATCCAGAACACAAATGCGATCATAAGAAAATCGCATGAAAGTATGCGCTTTGTGTGTAGGGCTGCCAGACGTCTCGGTTTTCCCGGATATGTCCCGGTTTTAGACTATTTGTCCCGGTGTCCCGGTCCAACCTTAAAATGTCCCGGGTTTCATTTAAGTGTCCCGGTTTTCGATTTGATTGCACAAATTTTGCTTAAAAATGACTACGCTGAGAGAAAAAGGCGTTGTAATATTAAGAAAAATTTTATGAATTTACTGGGGGAATTTACTGGGGGGTATGTACCTAAATACGTTAAAATGACATGCACAGAGTTTTACAATTATAGCATAAGCCAGAAGTTTTGAAACAAGCTCACAGCAACGAAACAAATGACTGATATTTTAATGTCACCTTGTATTTGTTTTTTTTTTTTTCGTGAAACCTAGATTACTTATAAGTACCGTGCCGTACAAAATTATTGGCTCGGAGACACTTTCATCTGATCACAATTTCTAATCAGATCTTTTAGAAAAATGTTTAAAATGTAGCTTTTGAGCCAATTAGTAAAGTGCAAGTCTGAAGTTACCAGAAAATTTCGTTGATTTTTTGCAATTATTTATTTTTTGCTGACAATGTCTTCCACATACAAAAAAATGTCGAACATAGTTTGTATGGAAGAAACTCTCAGTAAAAACAATACCAAATATATTGCCTCGTTCAAAGCCATGAGCAAAATCGTGAATACATGGTTTTCCGCAAAACAAGCGGATCTTAGTAATTTTGATAAAAATCTTAACGAACTCCGCACAGCTTTGAAAAGTACTGGAATTTCTCAAACTGTCAAAATCCATTTTATCCTTAAACATTTAAAGCAATCTATTTCATTATTGAATAACGATGGTTTAGGATTATGGTCCGAGCAGGCCGGGAAGTCAGTTCGTAGGGAATTCATTAAATTCTGGGAAAGATTCAAAATAAATATGATTGATAAACCAACTTTTGTGAGTCGGCTGAAGAAAACTGTAATGACATTTTCATTCCAGCATATATAAAAACTTAACTAAATAATAAAATATTTAAATACTAAAATGCGTGACTATATTATATGGTAAGCCAACAAAAAAAATAAAAGGAAACAAAAAACAAATATAAAAAAATAAAGCAAGAAAAAAATATAAAAAAATAAAACCAAAAAAACCAAAAAAAGAACAAAGAGGTGCAAAGTAAGTTGCCTCTACGTGGTACGCCTTGGAAACGATTGAAACCGGCTAAGAACTTACATAAACTTATATTTTCACATAATATATATACACACATTTACTCACACATACATTGTTGAATATTTAATTCACAAGGATGTTTTTCTCTTTCGCAAAAGTCGGTCCTATCATAACTATGTAAAATGTGGATATCTTTAAAACAGGAGCAGCTAGGATTTCAATTCAAAGGGATTCTTAACCTAAAAATATCAACAAATACAACCCTGCTTTCAGTTTTTGTCGACATTTTTATGCAACCTATCTTTGCTTCCTGCCCACCGTGTACGAAAGCCATTTGATCGCTGCAAGCAAAAAAAAAAACAACGCATGGGTCAATTGTGTAAGCACCGCCTCTCACCCTTGCACACACACACACACACACATACGCAAACTTTTTACAAATAGTTTTATACTCCGTCAAAGTTGAGCTTAAATGCCATTACAAATATTGTAGTGTAATTCCGGTGGAAACTTTTTGTGGATCGCACCAAGCAAAGAAAAAAAACAAAAAGAAAACAGAATAAAAATATCAAAACTCTGAAATTCGATTTACCAATTCGAAGGATTTTTAACTCTCAAGCTTGCAAGCTTGCAAAACTTTTTTGTTGCTAAACTAATTTTTTATCGCTTCGTTTCTGTGCAATCGAACTTTAGAACTTTCTTTGAGCCTGCTTAGAGGTGTACGCATGTATGTACACATTTTTGTAGGTAGTTTGAAGTGGCTTGCGTACTGAAAGCAATTAAAAGCAATTGCGTTAAGATAATCTTTTTGCCGCTTCTAATGAACCAGTTGCAATTTGCTTAAGTGCATAAGTGTCAAACTACAAGATTACTTCATTTCTAATTGCGTTTACTCAAATGTGTGTGTAACTAATACGCCACGTATGAGTGCATTTAAAAGGAGAAAGTTAAAAAAAGGGTTTGTAAGAGAATGCTTAACAGCTAAATGAGTACATAAGTAAGCTTAGAAGGAGTAAATGCGTTATGAAATAAAGTGCATAGAAAGTATTATATGAGCTCTTGAATTATATATATATATACATATATACTCATCTATACATATACCCACCATGAAAAGCATGAGATATAGACAGCAGACAACAATTGCAGAAAATTGGCCGTTTATTTATGTTTTATTTTTTGATGTTGGTCAGAAAGTTGACTTGAATCCAGGCCTTCGAAATGGTAGTGCGCACTTCTAACCACAGCAGCCGCCAGTGAAATATTAGTAGGTACGTGGAGTAAAACTAAAGGTAACAGAAACCAATTAAAAATGTGTGATAAGACATAAAATTCACTGAAGAGAAGAAAACACGCATTAATCCGCGTAATTTTGGCCTCTGGCTTGATTATGATTGACATGCAGCCTTCCTAGGCGTCGGTAAGCATACAAGTGCTAGTGCTAGGATCTCTCATCGATGTTAGTATATTATTTAACTCCATGAATCCTTGAATCTGTATGGCGAATGATCTAGCAAGATATGACTCTCTTGAGAAGGATAGTGGGAATGTGGAGTCTTCGTTGTCCACAGGTGAGCTGCTCCTGGACAGATAGGGGTTAAGTCAGCTCATAGAGCTAAAACCTTCATTGTGAGGTGCGCTATTCTACCATAAACGTTTCTATTCTCTTGTTCTTATTTTTCTCCTCTCCCAATTTTAAAAGATATCATGGAACAGAATTTCAGCATATTAAATTAATATTATTAATCCAATTTCGCCCTCATAACCTAGCCTAACCTAACCACCTGTGTACTTCGTCGCTTTTCCGGTGAGTTCATAGCATCTCAGACCAATTTTTTTTAAATGACGCAGGGAAGGGTCTTCCTCAGAATCTGAATCTGAAAATGATGACTTACATATGTGATGTATGTAAATATCAGACCTTCACTGTCAACGTAAGACCACTACTAGTTTTTCTAGAAAAAAATTCTGTCAAGGTCTTAAAATTTTAATAATTAATTTAAATTAATTTAATTTAATTAAAACGATCATCGGATTCACTTCAAAATTTTTACTCGTGTGCTTTTTGGGTATTATTTTTGTTTTAATTTCAAAATGACGGACCCAATATGACGGATAATTTTTCAAAACTTAATCGAATCCTTCTGAAACTTGTTCACTTGAGGGTTTTTAGGGTCGCTAATTTTGAAAAGGAACACCGGATTGGTGATCAGCGACACCAAAAACACCGGAGTAACAATTTCAAAGTGAATCCAAAGAAATGTTTTTAATTAGCTGTCATATTGGATCCGCCATTATGAATTTTGAAAAAAAGCCACTCGGCATTAAAAAACATTTACTTTTACTAAAATTTTAATACCTTGCCGAGTTTTTTTACCTAAACCAATTTTGGCGTGAATGAGGGCTTCCGCTGACAAAGACTGTCTCATATGTACGTACGTATGTATATGCATGAGACTCCATACAAAAAATAAATCGGTACTATTAAATCGGTATAATTACTTTAAGACTTCTGCCAAAATAATCGAGAAAATACAGCCCTAAAAAAGTTTCTTTTTTTTTGTATAAGGAATGAAAAATATTTCTCGTGTGTTTTCTTGTGAACTGGATACAAAGCTTTAGTAGTAAATTTAAGAAGAATACCAGGCAATTGCTTGTAGTGTAAAGCATTAATACCCAGGCTACTTTGTCTCAGTCTTGTCATATACAACATACAAGCGGTTTTTATTTTGCTGTTATTTTTTTTTTTAGTTCTCAAAAATATTTAATTTACATTTCATCATTCAACATTCAACAAACCCGCGCTTCTTTATTTGTACCTCGCCCGCACAATTTTGCCCCAAAGTGTTTTTGAAATCCACTTCATTCAGCATAGCATTTCCACATACCCTTGTTTACATATATATATATGTACAATATGCATTTATCTTACCGATTTTCCACACACACAGGTCACGCTTCACTCGAATATGCAGAAAGTGATTGAGCTATCACAAAGTGTTGTGGTCGAGAAGGCGCTTTTCGAAAAATTCGAGGAGATTCATCGCAGCACCAGCGTTTGTACGAATATATGCAGCACCAGGCATGAGCACATGTCCACAATGGCGTCAACATCATCTATGAGTTCGTCGATTACCACAGCCACTGAATATGCCACAGAGGCGGCGACGACGACGACGGGCGGCTGCGGTGACGGCGCTGGAGTTGGTGCTGATGCTGGCGATGAGAGCAACGGTGGCACTGGGCGCGCAACCAAAAGCATATCAATGTCGACATTCGAAACGAAACGCATACTCGCCACACTCAGTAATAGCAGCAGCAGTTGCAGCAGCGCCAGCACGATTATTAAACAACAACAGCAGCAGCAGCAGGAACGACAGAGTGAAAATCACGAAAAATCGCAATCAGAAGACCTGCAATCACCTGGCATACCACAAATGCCGGAAGCGGCTAAAAGTGATGGTGTTAGTGCAGCTGCTGGTAATGATGATGATAATAATGGCGATAAAAATAACAATAACAGTGCCAATAACAATGAAAATAACAGCGATAAAAGCAACAATAGTGTTGTGGCATTCGATGAGCTCAATTCAATGCATGCAACCGATGCGCCAACAGACATTCCAAACAACGCTGAAAATGTGCAGAAAGACCAAAGCGTGTTGGCGGCAGAGCAAGCAGCAGCTAGTGGGCAGCAACAGCAACAATTACAAAGACCAGCAAGCAGCAAAAGCATATCAATACCGGTAGATGGCACTGCACACTGCACATCAGCCCCCCCAGAAGCTACCAGCAGCAGTAGCATCAGCATCAGCGCCACTGCCAATACTCACACAAACCCTACTAGTTACATTAGCAACGATGATGAGTGTTCAGCTGTAGCCGCAGCAACGGCAGCCACAGCCGCGGCCACCACAGCTATAGTGCCAACAACGCCTTCATCCCCTACAACGCCATTGTTGCCCCTTCTGTGTTCTCACACGCATTCACCCGCTGCCAAAGAGGCGGATGAGGCTGTTGCAGCGCCTCTATCTCCAACAGCATTTGCAGATCCTGCAACAACGACGGACGGCGCATCAGCAGCTAAAAGTCAGGCATCGACTTGTTTGCCGAAGCAAATCAAAGTGCAGCCGGAAAAAGATTGCACAGTGCCCTACAACATCATCAACAACTACTTTTCGGTTGGTGTGGTAAGTGTGATTTTCTTTTTTTCATTTGCGAATGTATGTACGTATATAGGGTTTGTCTACCAGGTAATCATAATTTTAGGCTGAGTCGAAAAGAAAGAAATTAGTACAATTTTACTCTGAACGATGTACTCGTTGTGTTTATGTACCAGTGGAATTGAACCAAAAATACACCTACAGTCTGCCTGAAAAAATCGGTAAGAAGAAAAGTTACGTGAATTAAAAGAACCGTACGATGTTCTAAAATCAGGGACCGAACATAACAGTTATTGTTGAAACTGTCAAGGAAAAATTCACCATGAAGGAAATGTTCTACAACTAAGTGATAGATACTAGAGCTCTAGATACCCGGGTATCGAGCCATGCGAGTAGCTCGATACTCGCTCGAAACTCGTTCATTGCTCAACTGATCAAATGTTTGTTCAAAATTTTCGAGTTTTTGAACAATTTCATAAACAAAAGAAAATTTGTAAATTGAATTTGTCAGCAGGTGCTTTCTAATTCATGTTAAATAAATTATATTATTAAATACCAATGTAACAATCTTTGCATTATATATCAATAAATTGAAAAATTTAAAAAGTTGCTACCAAAAATGTCAATATAATAAAAAAAACATTGCTCAAGTTACTCGAAGAAACTCGAATTGCTCGAGCTCATGCTCGATAATTTTCGAGTAATGAGCATTGAACAAGTGTGCGAGTACTCGCTGCTCATATACCCGGGATGTTTGAAAATGTGCGAACAAAATCGAGAGCTCTAATAGATACCAATTGATTTCTTTTATCACCGAGACTCAAATTTAAAAAAAAAATTGATTTGCAATTCTTAAGCAAAATTAAAAAAAAATAACAATTATTTTTGATTTTTATATTATAAATCGAAAATAACAATTATTTTTGATTTTTATATTATATGTCTTAGATAACAGTTATTGAAGACTTTTACTTAAAAAAGTCATCATTAAAAATCAGACAGTGGCTTTTACTTTTAAAAGTCATCAATATAAATCAGTCACCGACTTTTATTTTTAAATCATTCGTATAAAAGTCGTTAACATTTAAACAAAAATTTACTACGACTTATGCAAATGACTTTTATAAGTATGATTTAAAAAATAAAGGTCCGTGACTGATTTTTAGTTATGACTTTTATAAATAAGTCTTCGATAACTGTTATGTAAGACATATAATCAAAAATAGCTATTATTTATAAAATTCGGAAATAACGGTTATTTAAGGAGTAATTAAATAAAAATCATTAAATAATTGTTAAAGAGCGTTTTTTTTAATAAACGTTGTAACTGTTCCGGTTAAAAATTGAAGGATTTCAATACAGACAAATGCGTAGATGATAATCAAGCCTGATAATACAAGTTCAGGCACGTACTTTATAAGTATATCGATAATAATATCGAAAAACTAATTGATAAGAATTTTGGTAATCATATCGATATCCATATTGACGAATATACCTATAAAATGTATCGATAGCTACGTCGATAAATATACGGATCAGTTAACACCACGATAACGATATCAATGCATGTGATTGTCATTTTTCTGAAATTTATTAGGATTTACCGGCAAACCAATATTGTGGAGTACAAAATTTCGTGCCTTTAACTGCTCATATCTTAACAATCAATAGTATGTGGGCTATATCTATGTTGTAATGATCTTATTTTAAAGATATAAATGTTTTTCGAGACTAAATATGTATATCGATAAATATATCAATAAAAATATCGATTATCATATCGTATCGTTAAAAATTTCGACAAATAAATGAAAAAATAAATATACAACAATATCGATAACTGTATCTGTAAATACATATATCCATATCAACATCGATAATACAAAGAAAATTCCGAAATAGTCGCACATGTCACGAAATAGTCCCGGGAATCTCGCACTAGGCTCGTAAATCCCGAAAAAGTCCCAAGAATTCCGAAATAGTCGTGAAAATCTTAATTTAGTTCCGAGAAACTCTAAAATTCCGATATACATAGTTCCCAAATTGAGGCATGGTGAGCTTAGGTGAGGCGTGGTGAGAGCGGGTGTGATGAGTTAAGGTTTGGTGCAATAAGTTGTGGTAGGATCAGTTGTGGTGTCTCTAAGTGAGGTATGGTGAGTTTGTGTGGGTTGAGTTAATTTGGCGTGAGGTGAAGTGAGTTGTGGTTAGGTAAGTTGAGGTGAGTGTAAAGTAAGGGGGTTATTTGTTAAATACCAAAATATTTTTAATTGTAGTTATAAAACCATAATAAACTTATTCCAAGTTGTCTTTGTATGTAATATTAAATGATAGGAAAGCATTAGCTTTAGAAAAGATTGGAAATGTACTCGTTGTCAGGCATGCCACAGAGTAACTGAAATCTTTCGGTTATTTTCATGATACAACCTTCGATTAGGCTCACATTAGAGATGCTGTGAAGTTTTATGGTTGAGAAATACCACAGTAGCCTCAATATCATTTACATTCTGACACAATTTCCCCAACCAGGACAAGCATAAAGCATCATTGCGTGAAATATTGTTTTTAATATAATAATTTTATTATCTGTGCTTAGATCGGTAGATTTTCGATTTATCAATGTGTAAACCATTTTTGTTGCAATATTTACGTTATTGATTATATTTTCAACATGTACGTAAATTCTCTAAGGCTTCATTTTACTCCGAATATTACTAACAATTTTTATCAGCCAAGCTAATATTTTATTCCTGTATGAGTGCCATTTCAGAAAACAATTCTCCATAACGGGTTGCCCTATAAATATTACACAGAGTAGATGTTTATAAAAATTTAGCTTAAAACTGAAAAATTAAAGTCGACTTTAAAATTTATTCGCACAAACTGTTGACAATTCTTTTTGTTCACCTCACTTGAAGGCACAAACACTTTTTGAATTTAGTGAGAGTATGTAAAATTGATTTATTGTTCTTATTTTCCAAAAGTCCACATTTAGCTTTAATCAGTTCTCGCTCTGTCTATATGTACAATGCATCGAATCATAACCTCATACATCACGCTTCTGTCGGGTTAAACAGGACATCTGCGCCTCAGCGTAAAATTTAGCAAAAAAAAAGAACTTTCTACAACTGGTTGCGAACGACATTTTTCTCACACAGACAATTTGTTTAGTCATACTTAAATGCATGTTGAAAAATATGTATATGTCTACGCTCTCAGCTACGTATATGTAGGTTTACGTGTGCGAATACATACATACGAGTAAGTACATATAACAATAATAAACACTTCTTTACTGTTTGTGTAGACTACTCTTCTGACTGAGGGGTATTAGGCGAAGATAAACCGTAACGGCTTGTCCTTTTCCCATGATTTATATTCGTTGACACTATGCTACGAGACCTTACAACAACCAACAATTGGCGACCGACTAAAGGCCGAGCGTATTTATTTCTCAACAATTTACGGCAAAGCCACTAATCCGTCCGACTTTTAGTGCTTCTCCATTACTTGGTGTGGTATTTTTTTAACTTCTTTTTTTTATATTTTTCCCCCTCTTTGTGAAGCTTTTTATATGCATTACTTCTACTGCTTTCAGTTAAGCGGATTTATTTGTTTCTGCCAACTTTTTCTATACGGCTGTGTTGTTATCCTTTACGCTTGAAATACATATTTGTAGCAAGAAAATTTATGATGTAACCTTTATGAACATTTATTTAGTACTTACTTGCATATGCATTGTATGTATGCATGTGCATGTGTTTAGGTTTGAGTGAAAATTTTTAATAGAAATTACGACTAATTATGTAGTTGGATTGTGGCTGCGAGTGCGACTGGTTAGATATAATAGACTGTTTACTGGAATTAATGTCCGAGTCTATCGAAATAAAAAAGGGGCTGCTTTAAATTTTTCCAAAAGTATTTTTTAATTTCAAAAAAAATATTTACAGAGCTTAAATCGGATATCAAAATGCCTACTGTTTATTCAAATTAACGTAAGCGGAATTTTTTTCAAAATTTTCTTTTTGATGCAGAAATATTCCTTGAGAAATCTAGATGCATTTCTGCATCAAAATGAAAATTTTGAAAAAAACTGTCGCTTACGTTATTTTGGTGTCTAGGCGTTGATATCGATCCCTAACTGCCAAATTGATTTTCTTTTTGGCGCAGAAATATTCCTAGAGCATCTAGATGCATTGCTGCATCACAAAGAAAATTTTTTGGTTAGAGAGTTGCCACCTGGTTGAAAAATGCAGTTTAAATAAATTGATAATATAAAGAAAATATTGCAATATGGCTATCGAGACAAAGAGGTTTAAGAAGGCTTACCCACGAAATAATTTTTTTGGGGAAGTTGCCACATGTTTAAAAATTTTAATTTAATTTTATTTAATTGATAAAAGATAAGTTAAATATTGCAATATGGGTATCAAACTGAAGAGGAAGGCTTACTGCCGAAAATATTTTTGAGGAGGGTGGCCACCTGGTGGAAAAATGGATTTTAACTAAATTGATAAAATAGTTGAAATATTGTAATACAGGTATCAAACAACACAAATATGCTTTTAAGGCGCAGTGAAGCACGTCGGGTATAATCATCAGGGAACGAACTTTTAGGATCTAAAAACCTATAAATAAAAGGTAAAATAGCGAAAGGCAGGAAACTAGAACCAGAAATCACAAAAAAGGCAAAACAAGGCACTAAAAAACGACAAAAACCGAAAAATAATCTAAAATTACATTTATTCTAGAAATGTTTATGTATTTTACAAAAAAAAAGAAAAACTATGAACTAGTTTCATTATATGAAAAATTTTGACTTTGAATCTTTTACTATTTGAACAACATTGAACCACAAGATGCATTTTAAAGTTTTCTGGCAGCATTTCCATTCGATTTTTGCGAAGAAAAACCTTGAATGTATTAAACGTTCGTTCGACGTGAGTTGATACAAGTGGCGTCCCAATATAAATATGGAACGGTTAAAACTTTCATATTATCAGGCCTTTTACAACTAAAGGCCAGTA